TCATTTTTCCATCTTGATTTCCATCGTGGTTACCAAGGAGACAACAGTGTCATTGAAGTACTTGAGATGAAATATGAGACATGATACATGAAGAAAACAAAGGAAAATCAAGGTAATCATCACTAGTGAACAGTTGCATCATTTGCAATCATGCTGCAATGTTCTCAAATTATGCAAAGGCTGTAACAAGGAGTTGGATATTTTATTCCAGAAATGTTAATAAAAATATCACCACAGAATGTTATTAAACATTACAAATTATGTGTAATATGCATAGTATACATACTGCATTCGGTATGTCTAGCAGTACTCCATTCTCATCAAGATCTTTTGAAGTTTATATAGAAAAAAAGGAGATGCATATTCTGTGCTTTCAGCGAAACTTACAATAAATGCAATAGATTCAATAAAACAAAGGACAGATCAATTAGATTTGCATGGCTTCAAATATGCTGTATCACACTGTAATGCAGTTATTGTTTCTTCTTTTTTCACCGTCAGCGACCCTCAAAGTGTCTCATCATCAAGCTATAAAATCAAAGACAGATTTGTGTTGGTATTTCAAACCAATTAATCTAATAAGCATCATCAGAATCAGCTGATTACAAGCTTCTGGACCAATTAAAGGTCACTGGTCCCTATTTAATGCCTTTCAGTTTTAATCTTTTACAGAAACAGCTCACTATCAGGTCCTCACTGCTGCCCTCAAACAAAGTATTTCCATTTGAAATTAAGAGAAAAAAACTACACTGAACTTCAGCATATAAAACGTATTTGTACCGCTCACCGAACAACAAGGTTAAGAGGCAAACACCAGCTCTGATCATGCTGTTTGATGTGTGCCGGTAGTTTCCATCACAGAGGAGCATGTGATTCTATCATCCTGTCAGTTCTGACAGCACAGAGGCGTCTGATGGCTTCAACAGAGCCACACATCTGAACGGTTCACTAACGTCCAACTTCACGCTATTATTACCATCAAAGCTGTCAATGTGTAAACAATCCTAATATCACATCAATCTCATCCATTCAAAATAATAATAATAATAATTTTGAATATAGAGTTTTTTTGTGCAGTTATGAATCATTTCACAAAATTTCACAGCATTGTATGTCCCTGAATACACACAAGTAAGCAATACTGTATTTTCCCATGTTTTGCATTATCATAATTACCGCTTGGTTAACAATGACACACAATAAAATATTCTGTTTACAAGTGATATTTATCTTGATGTTTCTTTGATTTCTTCACATAACTAATTGTCACATAATTTTACTGTTTAAATCATAAATGAAATGAAAATAATAATATGTAATATAATAAAGTTTTAAAAATGGCATGTATAATACTATCATTTATAGTAATTATACTATTTATAAATGATCTTTTTTTATATAATTTATGATATAAAGCAAAACGGCATCTGAAATGTAGTGAAAAAAATGCTATTGTAAATGATACAATGTTGCAAAACAGTCACGTTATAAAAATGGAACGGTTTGGAAAATGGATGTATAATATAATATAATATAATATGGACATTTTAAAATGTATATTTTATTTATATATTTAAATAATAATAATAATGATAATAATAATAATGCATTTTATGTATAATATTTTTTTTTTCTTCTCTACTGTAAATAATAGTGTTGCAAATAAGTCATGTTATAAAAATGTTTCTATAGCCAGAACTGTAGTCGGAACAGAGTATATATTTACAGAGTCTATTTAGTACTTCTATGCGTTACTTATAAAAAATACCGTCATGTACCGTGAAACCGGTATAATTTTGAAAAATACTGTGATATAAATTTTTGGTCATACCGCCCAGCACTAATTTACTGTTTACTAATTTACTAGGCTGAGTCTATATTTACTTTGAGAAAAAACTAAGCACATACATAAAGCACACAAAAGTACTTCTATGAGTTTCTTATATTTTAATGTGGCTTTAAATGTATATATAAATGTTATCAATTAAATTTCACTTTAACTGCTAAGTAACATATAGGGCCTACACTCTAAAAAATGCTGGGTTATTTCAACCCAACTTTGGGTCAAATATGGACTAACCCAACTGTTGGGTTAAATTTTTACATTCAATTTTTAACCCAAAAGTTGGGTTAGTCCAAATTTGACCCAAAGTTGGGTTGAAATAACCCAGCATTTTTTAGAGTGTATACTTACTTTAAAACATCATTTACATTTATTTATATTTATTCATTTAGCAGAAGCTTTTATCCAAAGTGACCAAAGAGGACAATACAAGCAGAACTGATTAATCCAAGAGAGAAAACAATATCAGAAGTGCCACTGGACCAAACTTCAACAGACAATATAACATTTCTACAGCAGAAGAGGAAGTGCAGAACAACAGACAGTAGAGAAGATTTTTAAGTGCAATTAAACAAAAGGCTATGAGTTAGTTAGTTAATTAAGGTCTTCATTATTTACGCTCCACTTCCCATCAGGGTTGAGGGTTTATTTTGTGATAATGATCGTCTAAGTGCACATGATCCATTACTGAGAGCCACTGTTTCATTAAAAATAATTGTGTTCAGAACATAGGCTGCAGTACTGAAAAGTACAGAAAGCCTTTCTACTAACTTTAGTCGTGTAGGTCTCCTGTAAACATCACTATCAATTATTGGCTGATTCTAATATAAAAAAATAAAAGCTGCTGACATGCTTCAGAAGAAAATGTGTGAAAAAGTTGCACAACACTTTTTTACTGTCTCCATTTCTGCTGTACCCATGGTTCTCTGAACCTCATTTCAGTGAAATTACTTTTTCCAATTCAGGTGTGAAAACCTAATTTGGATGCCTAATTTTTGCTGAGTACTCGTTCTGCTGCCATCCGGGTCACTGGCTCTGAGATCTCCTGCTATATGTATACAGCGGGTAAAGGCACACACGGATACGCAAACATCAATAAACCTCGTGTTTGAAACCGAGCTGAAAGTTGTTTTAACATTTGAATTGCTGGCTTAATGAAAAGGAGCTTTGACTGTGTTACTGCTGTGAGACGCACAACATCTAACAATGATTTTCTCTATTCACGGCTGCATTTTACCATCCCTCAGTGTTTTAAAGGAACAGAACTAAACTGTAGGAATAGTTCAGACAACCATGAAAATTCTGTCATCATTTACTCACCCTCATGTTGTTCCAAACCGGTTTGACTGACTTTCTTTCGTGGAACACAGAAAGGGAAGTTTTGCAGTACCACTAAAGCATACAGTGTCCACAGCTCCAAAAATTGTTACATTTCTACAATTTAATATAAACACTGAATGAAGAAATGCCCAGCAACTAACTGAAATAAAGTTTAAGTACTAAAATTATAATTAAAAAAAAATATATATTTTCAATTATTAATATATTAATAAAATATA